TTCAAAATTTTTAGTTGAATATATATTTTAAATTTAGTAAAATAGCAAGTTTTTTGAGTTAGGTATTCAAAAAAAAAATATATATATTAAGAAACTAAAAAAATTAAAAGATTTTTGAGAATGAGAACTCTTTTAATTTCAGAAACTTTGCTCATTTAAAAAAAAACCATTTTAAGTGCCCAGATAATAAAAAATAGAAATTTTAGCACTGACATTTTTTGCTAGTCTTTTTCATAGAAAAAAACTCCCAACTTTTGCAAATTTTTAACTTCAAAATTCAAAATATCTTTAATCGTTTTCTAAATAAATATTTAAAAAGCGACTTTTTCTAAGTTCGATACTTAAAAAGAATAAATTGATCTTCAAACAAAGATTTTTTTAATTAAATTAATTTAATTTTAATAAATTTTGCAACATAATTTTTGCTTCCAAAATAATTTACTTATAACAAATTTCTACAAATAAATTGATTTTAAAAAAAGTTGGCAAACTGTTGGTAATTTTTGAGTATGCAACTCTTTTTTCCAATTTGTGTCATTTCAAGATCCCAAAATTCTCTAAAGGTAGTTCACAAACAAAAGAGTCCTTAAATAGTCAAAAAATTAAAACGCCTTGTGTCCAGATTTATTTAAAATAAAACGCCAAGAGCTCCTCGATTTTTTCGAATTTTTTCAAAAACAAAACCTCAGGTGTCCCTGAGATATTTGAAACTACTTCAAAAACAAAACATCTGGGGCCCATGAGATTCTTTAAATTCTTTATTAAACAAAACACCAAGTGCCCCTGAGATTCCTAAAAATACTTCAAATACAAACGTCTGGATCTTCTGAGATCCTTTAAAACTACTTCAAAAACAATCATTTTGGCCCCCTGAGACTCTTTAAATATACTTCAAAAACAAAACACCGGGTGCCCCTGAGATTCTTAAAACTACTTCAAATACAAACGTCTGGAACCCCTGAGATTCTTTAAAACTACTTCAAAAATAAACGCTTGGGGCCCCTGAGATTCTTTAAATATACTTCAAAAACAAAACACCGGGTGTCCTTGAGATTCTTAAAATTACTTCAAATACAAACATCTGGGACCCCTGAGATTCTTTAAAACTACTTCAAAAACAAACGTTTGGGGCCCCTGAAATTATTTAAATCCGTTAATAAACAAAACACCAGGTGCCCCTGAGATTCTTAAAGCTACTTCAAATACAAACGTCTGAAACCCTTGAGATCCTTCAAATTGTTTAATAAAACAAAAAAAAAACATTTAGGGCTCCTGAAATCCTTTAAAACTACTTCAAAAACGAACATTTGGAGCCCCTGAGATTATTTAATTCTTTAATAAACAAAACACCAGGTGCCCCTGAGATTCTTAAAACTACTTCTACTTCTACTACGTCTGGAACCCCTAAGATTCTTCAAATTCTTTAATAAAACGAAAAATATCTGGGGCCTTGAGATTCTTTAAATATACTTCAAAAACAAAACATCAGGTTCTCCTGAGATTTTTAAAACCACTTCAAATACAAACAGCTGAAACCCCTGACATCCTTTAAAACTACTTCAAAAACAAACGTTTGGGGCCCCTGAAATTCTTTAAATATACTTCAAAAACAAAACATCAGGTGACCCTGAGACTTTTCAAATTCTTTAATAAAACAGAAAACATCTACTACTTCAAAAGCAAACGTTTGGGGCCCCTGGGATTCTTTAAATTTACTTCAAAAACAAAACACCAGGTCCCCTGAGACTCTTCAAATTCTTTAATAAAACAAAAAACATCTGGGGCCCCTGAGATTCTTAAAACTACTTGAAATACAAACGGCTGGAACCCCTGAGATCCTTTAAAACTACTTCAAAAACAAACGTTTGGAGCCCCTGAAACTCTTAAAATATACTTCAAAAACAAAACGCCTGGGACCCCCGAGATTATTTCAATTCTTTAATAAACAAAACACCAGATGCCTCTGAGATTCTTAAAACTACTTCAAATACAAACGTTTGGAACACCTGAGATTTTTCAAATTCTTTAATAAAACACAAAACATCTAGGGCCCCTGAGATCCTTTAAACTACTTGATCAGCAAACTTTTATGGTTCCTGAAATTCTTTCAATATACTTGAAAAACAAAACGCATAGGATACCAGAGATTATTTAAATTTTGTATTAAACAAAACACCAGGTGCTCCTAAGATTTTTAAAACTACTTCAAATAGAAACGTCTGGAACCCGTAAGATTCTTCAAATTATCTAATAAAACAAAAAACATTTGGGACCCCTCAGATCCTTTAAAATTACTTCAAAAACAAACATTTGGGTTCGCTGAGATTCTTTAAATATACTTCAAAAACAAAAAACACCTGGGGTCCCTGAGATCCTTTAAAAGTACTTCAAAAACGACGTCTGAGGCCCCCGAGATTCTTTAAAATTATGTCAAATTCAAACGTCTGGGGCCCCTGAGATTTTAAAAACTACTTCAAATAGAAACGTCTGGAACCCATGAGATTCTACAAATTATTTAATAAAACAAAAAACATTTGGGACCCCTCAGATCCTTCAAAATTACTTCAAAAACAAACATTTGGGTTCGCTGAAATTCTTTAAATATACTTCAAAAACAAAAAAACACCTGGGGTCCCTAAGATCCTTTAAAAGTACTTCAAAAATGACGTCTGAGGCCCCTGAGATTCTTTAAAATTATGTCAGATTCAAACGTCTGGGGCCTCTGAGATTTTTAAAACTACTTCAAATAGAAACGTCTGGAACCCGTGAGATTCTTCAAATTATTTAATAAAACAAAAAACATTTGGGACCCCTCAGATCCTTTAAAATTACTTCAAAAACACACATTTGGGTTCGCTGAGATTCTTTAAACATACTTCAAAAACAAAAAACACCTGGGGTCCCTGAGATCCTTTAAAAGTACTTCAAAAACGACGTCTGAGGCCCCCGAGATTCTTTAAAATTGTGTCAAATTCAAACGTCTGGGGCCCCTGAGATTTAAAAAACTACTTCAAATAGAAACGTCTGGAACCCATGAGATTCTTCAAATTATTTAATAAAACAAAAAACATTTGGGACCCCTCAGATCCTTTAAAATTACTTCAAAAACAAACATTTGGGTTCGCTGAGATTCTTTAAATATACTTCAAAAACGACGTCTGAGGCCCCCGAGATTCTAAAAACTACTTCAAATAGAAACGTCTGGAACCCATGAGATTCTTCAAATTATTTAATAAAACAAAAAACATTTGGGACCCCTCAGATCCTTTAAAATTACTTCAAAAACAAACATTTGGGTTCCTTGCGATTCTGTAAATATGCTTCAAAAACAAACATTTGGGGCCCCTGAAATTCTTTAAATATACATCAAAATCAAAACGTCTGGGGCCCGTGCGATTCTTCAAATTATTTAATAAGACAAAAAACATCTGGGCCCCGCAGATCCTTTAAAACTACTTCAAAAACAAATGTTTGCCTATGAGATTTTTTAAATTGTCAAAAAATTTAAAAATCGGGTACGTGTGGTTTATGAATCCCTGTTGAGTTTGTACGTTAGACATGCAGATTTAACAAAAAAATCTATAACAACATTTTGCAATTTAATTGTAAGGTTATCACAGACTTTGTAAATAGTTAATCAAAATTTATCCGTTTATCCCCTTCACAAAATTGATAAATAAATAAATCAAAACACATATATATACTACAAGTATAGACTGTAGTTCATCAATGCTTTTATATTTTTAGAATCACTTATACAGGGTGACTCAAAAAAATGGAAACATTTGCTTGAAATATACGCATAGCATGCTTTTTGCCTGTATTTTATTAATCCACACTGATTTTTTTTAACTTATTATCGTATTTTTCTAAGTTTTCTTTATAATTTTTCGAAAAAGCTGGATTTGATGTGAAGTAATTCAAATGCGAGGAAAGTTTTGCCTAAATAATTTATATAACTCACAATGCTTAATTATCAGTCGTGAAATCCCACACAGAAAAAAATAGTTGTTTTTTTTTTTTTCAAAAATGGCCAAACAAAATAATAAACGTTACTACGAAATCTAGTACCCTGGAATGTTACTTACACTGCGTTGTATTATCAAACTTTGTAAACTTTGACCAGAACTTTTCTAATATACTCATAAACATGAACTTTTCAAATTCAATTTTTTTTTTTTTTTTCAAATAATTTTGAAAATACCCAAAATTAACAGGTTACTCGTTTTACAATACTGTAACAATTTTTTATTTTTTCCCACTTAAAGGCTACAAAAAATGTAATCTTCTTAGCAGCCATTGCCAAATATGTTTTTCTTATCCCGATATAATTGTTATTATCATTCCGTTGTTCAGTTACATAATCACTAGTATTTTAGAAAGAATTTTAATCGGGAAGCAACGAGTTTTTTATCTATATCTCAATTTCCAATTTATGTCGATAATGATGTCCTAGACCCAAAAGATTTGTAAACATTGACAAAAAACAAACAAAAACTCGTAATCAGAGAATCGATTAAGCTAATTCTAAGTAAACGCTCTGATAACCTTCGCACAATTTTTCGAAAACAAGCCGCCAAAATAACGCCACATTGCAACCACCCTGTATACGACATTTCCGCTATTCAAAACGCGCCAGCAGGTGAGACCCGACTCCAAAATGGCGCTTTTCCGGAATTTCCCCCAACCGCCGCTCAATTAGAGCTCGTCCATCGGAAAATTTCCACCTGCCCCATCGTTCCGGCCCCGATAAACCCACCAAAGGTGTTCCCACACGCAAATCGATTGAGGGTCTATTTATAGTTTTGGCACCAGAAGTCCCGCATGAGTCCCGCCAGCAATGCAATCATTAATTCGGCGATTTTTGCTCTGTCTTGTTTGTTTTGGTGTGACGGCGACACATTTCGGCCGAATTCCGAAATGTGTCGCTCTTTTTCGACCGAAGCAGAGTGAAGCGGTATGTAGGAATGAGTGTTTTTAGACCGTAGTGATTTTTTCAGCACGGCCGTTCAGACTCGTACCGAGTGGCAACGATTCCGTCCAATTACGACGACAACAAAACCGCAGACGGTAGAGCTAAGGTATTTTTCGACACTACATGTGTACTTACGTCTTGTGGGCTCTCTACTTTGTTTATTTCTTTTCACACTTTGAGTAGGTTGTTGGGTCAAGGACTCTACTATCTTGTTTTTCTCTGTTTCTAATGATTTATTTATTTAATGCCGTTTTACTTTTTGTTTGATTAGATCGATTCTTTTATTGGGACTGGGGTCTGGTTTTTATTGATCGCGATGTTTGGAACCACTATAATCTGACGGATGTAACCAGTGGAGGTAGGTCATTGATAACGCGATCAAGTCTTCACAAAATTTTTGCATCGGACATCCTGAATCGGCTGGATGCCCCAATGACGTCACCACAGATATCGCGATAACTTAAAGTAGTAGTAAAATTATTCTAGTAAAATTTGACATTTGAAAATGCTGTTTATCTCTAGACTTGGAGCTTGTTATTTACATTAAAAAAACTTAGTTAAATATACGGAGCTTTTGGAAGATTAAGGTACGACACTTTATTAAATGTCATACATTCTATTCTGTGGTACATAGATAAAGTATTGCGAATTTTTATAGAACAAGGAAGCGAAAATGAGGCTAAAGCTAATTTCTGGGCGATCGATCGCATCCACTGGTTATTTTTAAACGTACTAAGAAAGTGTCAGAATCTAGTGGTTCGTATTTTCGAAAATAGTAAGGCGGCAATTTTGGTTTTGTGTCACCCGTAAGTAATTCAGCGCTAACACCACTAACAGCACTCCGCAAATATTGCACTTAGGTATGTATATAAGACGTAACTCCGTAACAACTTAATTGTTTTATGGCTCGTTATCTGTGCAATACAACAATAGTAGTAATAATAGTCCCTCTAATGCTTGTTAATTTTCTAACTTAGTCGTTATCAGTAACGTAAAAAATGGCAGTCCGCCTACAGGATTAACCAACGTTTCCTGCGGGTTGGTTTCGTTATCTCGTAAGGAAAAGCGTAATCTCTAACCGTAACGCTAGTTCCTATGACGTCAGCCTACCGCGTCCATTTCTTCCAAGGTTTGAGAGTAGATCTTTTGAATACACCGTTACTGGATCGTTGCAGTTAAACTCAGATTGTCTAGACATAACTAGAACGAAAATGACCCCCCACCTCCAATTATCACAATTTCCTCGCTTGCATGAGCCGCTTTGGTTTTGGTATTTTTTGTAATAATTACGGAATTGGGTTCGAACCGGTTAAATCGAAGCCTAACCGATTCTCTGTGCTAATTCGTTCGATTTTCTAGTCACGGAGGAAAAATGTAAAGAAGCAAAGGAAAGCGGAAGACTTAGATGACTTGAAACAAGAATTGGACATCGACTATCACAAGATCACCCCGGAAGAGTTATATCAAAGGTTTCAGACTCATCCAGAAAATGTAGGTATGCGCGCAGCGCACGTGCCGCCTGATCGAGCTTGCTGTTTCAGGGCCTCAGTCACGCGAAAGCGAAAGAAAATTTGGAACGGGACGGACCCAATGCACTCACGCCCCCAAAGACCACCCCCGAATGGGTGAAGTTTTGTAAAAATCTCTTCGGGGGTTTCGCTCTCTTATTGTGGATCGGCGCCATCCTTTGCTTCATAGCCTACTCTATCCAGGCTAGCACCGTCGAGGAGCCCGCCGATGATAATCTTTATCTTGGCATCGTCTTAGCTGCCGTTGTTATCGTTACAGGTGGGTTAAAGTGTACGAACTTTCGGTTTTCTGTAAATAGCGCATTTTCATCATAATAGTGATTGTGTTGTTGTTTGATCTTCGCAGTTGAATACAAAAGACAATGCACTTTTGACTTGTGACAAAAAAAAACGGGGTCATAAAGATATAGAAATTTCGTCACTTCAGCTACTTACTTGTTCGTTGTTTGGTTCTCCACACAAACTGTAACTAATTGGTAAAAAAAATGTTTATAGCCTATTAAATTGCAATACGTGTTCGAAATAGTAACCTTGCATTAAACGAAGTTGCTGTAGAGCCTAGATAATTGTTGTCAGGTATAAATAAAAACTTTGAGTTTATTGTGTCAAGTTTTAATTTAAAATTGTTGAAATTTTTGTGTTTTATGTCGGAAAAATTTGACGAATCGGATACTCCTAAATTCCTGACCCGATTTGAGGTCGTTCATTTTTTAATTTTAACTTAGATTAGCAAACTGGATAAAATACGGATTATGTTCATTCAGATGCAGGAATCCAGCCTGATTTTGAAGGTTTTTGGAAAAAAAAAAATAAAAAAGGCGAAATGATGATTCTTTAATAAACAAAACACCAAATGCCTCCGAGACGCTTTAAAACTACGTCGAAAACAAAAGGTCGTAGGCCCTTCAGATTATTATGTAAATTTTCAAAAAAATGAAACACGAAGGGCCCTCAATATTTTTTCAAATTATTCGAAAATGAACGTCAGGTACCGCCAGATTTTTTTAGATCCTTCAAAAATAGAATGCCATACCACCTAGATTCTTTCGAATTCTTTAAAAAAAAAAAAAAACATCATTTGCCCTTGAGATTCTTTAAAACAACGTCTGGAACCTCTGAGATTCTTTAAAAATTCTAATAAACAAAATCCCAGGTGCCTCTGAAACATACTTTAAAACTACTTCAAAAACAACGTCTGAGGCTCCCGACATTCTTTAAAACTATGTTAAAATCAAACGTCTGGAGCCCTTGAGATTCTTTTAAACTACTTCAAAAACAAACGTTTGAAGCCCCTGAGATACTTTAAAAACTATATCAAAAACAAACATTCAAGACCCTGAGATTGTGTAAAACTATGTCCAAATCAAACGTCTGGCGCCCCTGAGATTCTTTTAAACTACTTCAAAAACAAACGTTTGAAGCCCCTGAGATACTTTAAAAACTATATCAAAAACATTCAAGACCCTGAGATTGTGTAAAACTATGTCCAAATCAAACGTCTGGCGCCCCTGAGATTCTTTTAAACTGCTTCAAAAACAAACGTTTGAAGCCCCTGAGATTCTTTAAAACTATATGAAAAACAAACATTGGAGCCCCTGAGTTTCTTGAAAGCTATGTCAAAATTAAACGTCTGGCGTCCTGAGATTCTTTAAAACTACTTCAAAAGCAACGTCTGAGGCTCCCGAGATTTTTAAAACTATGTCAAAATCAAACGTCTGGCGCCCCTGAGATTCTTTTAAACTACTTCAAAAACAAACGTTTGAAGCCCCCGAGATTCTTAAAAACCATATCAAAAACAAACATCTGGGACTCTTGAGCTTCTTTAAAACTACTTCAAAAATAAACGTCTGGAATCCCTGAAATTCTTTAAAAGTTTTAATAAACAAATATTCTTTAAAACTACTTCAAAATCAAACGTGTGGCGCCCCTGAGATTCTTGTAAACTACTTCAAAAACAAACGTTTGAAGCCCCTGAGATTCTTTAAAACTATATCCAAAACAAACATCTGGACTCTTGAGATTCTTTAAAACTACTTCAAAAACAAAGGTTTGAAGCCGCTGAGATTCTTAAAAACTATATCAAAAACAAACATCTGGACCCTTGAGATTCTTTAAAACTACTTCAAAATAAACGCCTGGGATCACTCAGATTCTTTAAAAATTTTAATAAACAAAATACCAGGTGCCTCTGAAACATTCTTTAAAACTACTTCAAAAACAACGTGAGGCTCCCGACATTCTTTAAAAATATGTCAAAATCACAAGTCTGGGGCCCCTGAGATTCTTTTAAATCACTTCAAACAGAAACGTTTGAGGCCCCCGAGATTCTTAAAAACTATATCAAAAACAAACTTCTGGAACTCTTGAGCTTCTTTAAATCTACTTCAAAAACAACGTCTGGGTTTCCCGGGATTCTTTAAAACCATGTCAAAATCAAACGTCTGGGGCTCCTGAGATTCTTTTAAACTACTTCAAAAACAAAGGTTTGAAGCCGCTGAGATTCTTAAAAACTATATCAAAAACAAACATCTGGACCCTTGAGATTCTTTAAAACTACTTCAAAATAAACGTCTGGAATCCCTCAGATTCTTTAAAAAATTTTAATAAACAAAAGACCAGGTGCCTCTGAAACATTCTTTAAAACTACTTCAAAAACAACGTGAGGCTCCCGACATTCTTTAAAAATATGTCAAAATCACAAGTCTGGGGCCCCTGAGATTCTTTTAAACTACTTCAAAAACAAACGTTTGAAGTCCATGAGCTTTTTTAAAACTATATCAAGAACAAACATTGAAGCCCCTGAGATTCTTGAAAACTATGTCAAAATCAAACGTCTGGCGCCCCTGAGATTCTTTTAATTCACTTCAAAAAGAAACGTTTGAGGCCCCCGAGATTCTTAAAAACTATATCAAAAACAAACTTCTGGAACTTTTGAGCTTCTTTAAAACTACTTCAAAAACAACGTCTGGGTTTCCCGGGATTCTTTAAAACCATGTCAAAATCAAACGTCTGGGGCTCCTGAGATTCTTTTAAACTACTTCAAAAACAATGGTTTGAAGCCGCTGAGATTCTTAAAAACTATATCAAAAAAAACATCTGGACCCTTGAGATTCTTTAAAACTACTTCAAAATAAACGTCTGGGATCACTCAGATTCTTTAAAAATTTTAATAAACTAAATACCAGGTGCCTCTGAAACATTATTTAAAACTACTTCAAAAACAACGTGAGGCTCCCGACATTCTTTAAAACTATGTCAAAATCAAAAGTCTGGGGCCCCTGAGATTCTTCTAAACTACTTCAAAAACAAACGTTTGAACTCCATGAGATTCTTTAAAACTACATTAAAAACAAATATTGAAGCCCCTGAGATTCTTGAAAACTACGTCAAAATCAAACGTCTGGCGCCCCTGAGATTCTTTTAAACCACTTCAAAAAAAAACATTCGAGGCCCCTAAGATTCTTTAAAAGTACTTCAAAAACAACGTTTGAGGCTCCCAAGATTCTTTAAAACTAGTCAAAATCAAACGTCTGGCGCCCCTGAGATTCTTTTAACCACTTCAAAAAAAAAAAAGTTTGATGCCCCTGAGATTCTTTAAAAGTACTTCAAAAACAACGTGAGGCCCCTGAGATTCTTTAAACCTATGTCAAAATCAAAAGGCCTGAGATTTTTTTAAACTACTTCAAAAACAAACATTTGAAGCCCCCGAGATTTTTAAAAACCATGTTAAACACAAACATCTGGGACTCTTGAGCTTCTTTAAAACTATGTCAAAATCAAACGTCTGGCGCCACTGAGATTGTTTTAAACCACTTCAAAAAGAAACATTTAAGGCCCCTGAGATTCTTTAAAACTACTTCAAAAACAACGTCTGGAACTCCCGAGATTCTTTAAAACTATGTCAAAGTTAAACGTCTGGGAGCCCTGAGATTCATTAAAACTACTCCAAAAACAAACATCTACCGAAATTCTTTAAATATTTTAATAAGGAAAACACCAGGAGCTGTTGAGATTCTTAAAAACTACTTCAAACAAAAGTGTTTGTTTGAGGTCCTTGAGATTCTTTGAAACTATGTCAAAAACAAACGTCTGGGGCTCCTGAGATTTTATAAATATTTTAAAAAACAAAACACGAGGTTCCTCTGATATTTTTGAAAACTGCTTCGAAAAGAAAACGCGTAAAAGCCATGACATCTTATAAAATTATTTCGAAACGTGTAGGGCCTGAAACTCAAAATTTTCAAAAAATTAAAACCTTGGGTGTCTCCTAGATTTTTTTAAATCCTTTTAGAAATAAAACACCTAATAAGTCCCTGAGATTCTTTATAAATTAAAACACCACGGACACCCAAAATTCATTCAAACTTTATCAAAAATAAAACGCAAGGAGTACTCAAAATTCGTTAATAAAATGCAAAAACGAAACATCGAGGATCGTGAGCTTCTTCCTTTCTTTTTTTTTACGAATAAAACGCACTTCACCCCTCAAGATTTTTTACAATTATTTCAAAAACAGTGACAGCCTTAAGATTCATTAATTTTTTTTCAATATCTTCAAAAATAAAACACCAGGAGCCTTATTGTCCCGCTTACGTGTTTTCTTTTGCATCTAAGTTTAAAAAAATCAACTCGAAGTATATTACCAATCATTCAAATATTCGTTTTCGATTCGATTTGTTAATTGCTTCGTCGTTGCATTTTTAACCAAAAAATTTACAACAAAATATAATTTTTTTCCAAATTTCCAAACTTTAATTCTATAACTAACGGTTTTTCTTTGATATCAGGTTTTCCGTTCCTCCTTTCTGGTGCGATTAAGATATTTTAAAATTCAGAACTAATTAAATTTAAAACAGATGCCTAAACATTGTCTGTTTACGTATCAAAAATCGAACTATTCATTCTCTACTAACATTGTAGCACATTTTATTACTCCACTGTGTACTTTAGTGTTCTGCTCCCAAATTTACTTTTAATGGCGTGTTTATTTTAACTTTGTCAGGCGAAACATAATAGCGTTAGATACAAATTTCTTGGAAATGTTTAACGTAGCGCAAAATAAGTAAATTTTGCGAGCCTGGCCTCCGGGGCCGCCTCTGGCTGCATAATTCCTTTGAACTAACAAAATATTTATCGCGGAATTTCGAGTTTAAATTAAATTCTCGAACAGAGATATTATAAGTGAAACACCCTTTAGAGGTTATAGAAGCTTTTTACAGTCGTACTGCATCTAATCGAAATGTTGTTTCTGTTCACGCTTCCTACTTCGGGTCATAAATGCTAATGAAATAATGAAACGCTTTGTTTACCAGTAATAAAACATAACTTTATTCAAGGAATGAAAACGTTTATTACATAAACGAACACAATTGTTCCCAGTATGCACGTAAATCAATAAGGTGGTTTTTCCTTTAGTATTGTTTTTAAATCAGAGTCGCAACATTATTATTATTATTATTAGTATTATTGATGTTGATGGGTTGTTGCAGGTATATTTTCTTATTATCAAGAAAGCAAGAGCTCGAAAATCATGGAATCGTTCAAAAACATGGTCCCCCAGTTCGCTACCGTACTTAGAGAGGGCGAAAAGCTGACCCTCCGCGCCGAAGACCTGGTCTTGGGCGACGTGGTCGAGGTGAAATTCGGCGATAGGATCCCGGCCGACATCCGAATCATCGAATCCCGAGGCTTCAAAGTGGACAACTCATCACTGACCGGCGAATCAGAACCGCAATCCCGCAGTCCGGAGTTCACTCACGAGAATCCTCTCGAAACGAAGAACTTGGCGTTCTTCTCCACTAACGCCGTCGAAGGCACTGCCAAAGGTGTTGTGATTAGTTGTGGTGACAATACCGTGATGGGCCGCATCGCTGGTCTCGCCTCCGGACTGGACACCGGCGAAACACCCATCGCCAAAGAAATCCATCATTTCATCCACCTCATCACCGGCGTCGCCGTTTTCCTCGGTGTCACCTTTTTCCTCATCGCGTTCATCCTCGGCTACCACTGGCTCGACGCCGTCATCTTCCTGATCGGTATCATCGTCGCCAACGTCCCCGAAGGTGAGTGAACACTGTTTTTACGACAATCGGGGTTCGAACCGACTCGTTTCAGGTCTCCTGGCCACCGTGACCGTCTGCCTCACCCTCACCGCCAAGAGGATGGCCTCCAAAAACTGCCTGGTGAAGAATCTCGAAGCCGTGGAGACATTAGGCTCCACCAGCACGATCTGCTCTGACAAGACCGGAACGCTCACCCAGAACCGGATGACGGTGGCCCACATGTGGTTCGACAACCAGATCATCGAGGCAGACACTACCGAGGACCAGTCCGGCGTGCAGTATGACCGCACCAGCCCCGGCTTCAAGGCGTTGTCGCGCATCGCCGCCCTCTGCAACCGGGCCGAGTTCAAGCCCGGCCAGGACAACGTGCCGATTCTCAAACGCGAAGTCAACGGCGACGCCTCCGAAGCCGCTCTCTTGAAGTGCATGGAACTAGCCCTCGGCGACATCATGTCCATCCGACGCAAGAACAAGAAGGTGTGCGAAATTCCATTCAACTCCACGAATAAGTACCAGGTGTCTGTCCACGAGAACGAGGACGCCAGCGACCCCAGACACATCCTGGTGATGAAGGGCGCTCCAGAGCGCATCCTGGAGCGCTGCAGCACGATCTTCATCTGCGGAAAAGAAAAAGTATTGGACGAGGAGATGAAAGAAGCGTTCAACAACGCATACTTGGAGCTAGGTGGCTTGGGAGAACGAGTGTTGGGTTTCTGCGACTTCATGCTACCAACGGATAAATTCCCCATCGGGTACAAATTCAACTCCGACGACCCCAATTTCCCTCTGGACGGGCTGCGCTTCGTGGGTTTGATGTCGATGATTGATCCCCCGAGAGCCGCGGTGCCGGACGCCGTCGCCAAGTGCAGGAGCGCCGGTATCAAGGTCATCATGGTGACGGGCGATCACCCGATCACGGCGAAGGCTATCGCCAAGTCGGTGGGCATCATCTCCGAGGGTAACGAGACCGTGGAAGATATCGCGCAGAGGCTCAACATTCCGGTGTCGGAGGTCAACCCGAGGGAGGCCAAGGCTGCTGTTATTCACGGTTCGGACCTCAGGGATTTGTCGTCGGAGCAGTTGGATGAAATCCTGAGATATCACACTGAGATTGTATTCGCTAGGACTTCGCCTCAACAGAAATTGATTATCGTGGAAGGTTGCCAACGGATGGGTGCTATTGTCGCTGTGACCGGTAAGTGGGATTTGTGATTGTTTTGGGTCAAAGAACTCGCGGTTTTGATCGTTTAGTCGGGATTAAGAGCGACGGCGGGTTGATTAGCGTGGAATTGGAGGTAACGGAGCGAGTAATGTGATGTTTTGAGTACGTTTCGTTTACGAGAGTTGTGTAATGAGCGTAGCGAGTTTTGTAATAGGCGTCGATTGGATTTTCGATAAGTGGAGGTAATGAAACTGACTCATGGATTTAGCGTCATTCTATTTCGTAATGTCGTTTACATTTTGCTATTAATTTTTTAATTAGAAATTTGGACTAGAACGAAAACTCCCCTTCCCTTTCGATTCGTTTTTCAGTTGTATTATAATCTGGCTTATATAATATGGGCGAACGAATAACAGCAACAATAAAAAATATCCGAAAAAGCGGCGAAACTTTTTATTAGTTCTGAAAGAAACTGTCTGTAAAAGAAAATAATGTCCACGAGCCAGACAAACAACAAAAAAAGACGCTGAAGGAAAGTTCTTTTCCTTTGAAACTTTATGCCAAAACTCCACTTGACGAATTGCTAAGTTTATGTTTTCTCGACATTTCATAGATCCTAGGCTGTAAAAAGTGGGTACCCTTTCCGTTTGTCGTTTTTGGCGATTTTCTTAGGCAGATCATTTTTTAAACTGGGTTTGTTTGATTCCTTTAAATTCTTCCAAAAACAAAATACCAAGGGGTTTCAAATTTCTTTCAGCCGTTTCCAAAAATAAAATATTAGGGTAGCCAAAAATTGTTTTAAATTCCTCCAAAAATAAAGTACCAAGGGCCCTCAAGATACCTTCATATTCTTTCAAAGTTTTCCAAAAATAACAACTTTAGGACCCCCAAGATTCTACAAAATTCTTTCAAGATGCTTTCAAGGTCTTTCAAAAACAGACATCAGGGTTCCTACGTGAATTTTTTATAAAAATAAAACATTAAGGGATCTCAAGATTCTTTCGAATTCTTCCAAAAATAAAACATTCAGGACCCCCAAGATTCTTTAAAATTCTTTCAAAATAAAACACCACGGGCCCTCAAGAATCTTAAAAATACTTCTAAAAATTAAACAATAAATACCCTCAAGATTCTTTTAACTTCTTACAAAACTAAAACACCAGTGGTCTCACAGATTCTTTCCACTTCAAAAAATAAAACATCAGGGACCGCAAGATACCTTTATATTCTTTCAGAAACAGAACACCAAGAACCCCCAAGTTTTTTAGCTTGTTCCAAAAATAACACCTTTAGGATCCCCAAGATTCTTTAAAGTTTTTTCAAAATAAAACATGATTGGTTCCGGAAATTCATTCACCTTCTAAAACGAAACCAGCATGGGTCCCCAAGATAATTTGATATTCATCCAAAATAAAATACCAAGATTGTTTCAAGTTCTTTCAGAAACAGAACACCATAAGCCCCTAAGATTTTTTCAACTCAAAATTAAACCTTTAGGACCTCAAGACTTTTTAAAATGTTTGCAAAATAAAACATTGGGGTAGTTTTTCCTTCACCTCGTTCCAAAAATTAAACACCAGCCCCCCTCCCCTTCCCAAGATTCTAACTTTTTCCAAAAGTAGTATAACACCAGGAGTCTCCAAAATGCTTTTAGATATTTTAAAAATACAACACCAATTTTTAGCTCTTCAATAATCTTTTAGCTTCTTTAAAAAATAAGCCAGTGATGTTCGAGATTTTTTCAACTTTTTCCTAAATAAAACACCAGGAACTATCAAAATATTTAAGATATTTACTTTTATAGTCTTTCAAAATAAGACACCAAAGGGCGTCAAAATTAGCCCAATTTCATTCAGAAACAAAACCTAAAAGCCTCCAAGTTTTTTTAACTTCTTCCAAAAATTAAATCTTGAGTACTTCTAAGGTTCTTTAAAATTCTTTCCAAAATAAACACCAGTGGACTCCAAGAATGTTTTATTTTCTACCAAAAATAAAACACCAAAGGCCTTCAAGATTGTTTCAGCTTTCTCTAAAAATAACACACTAGGGCCCGCCAAAACTGTTTCAACTTTTACCAAAAATAAAACACCAGAGACCCCCAAAATGATTTCATCTTCTTCCAAAAATAAAACACCAGAGCCACCCAAGATTGTTTCAACAAAAAAAAAAAAAAAACAAAGACCCCTAGGGGTCTCCAAAATTGTTTATTAATCTTTTTCAAAAAATGAAGCACCAAGGTCCCCCAAGATTGTTTCATCTTCTACCAAAAATAAAACACCAAAAAAACCCAAGATACCTTTATATTCTTCCAAAATAAAACACCTAGGGTCCTCAAGAGCACCAAAGTCCTCGCAAGTTTTTTCAACTTTTTCCAGAAATAAAACCTTTGGAAACCCCAAGATTCTTCAAAATTCTTCCAAAATTATACACCAAGGACCCCCAAGATACTTTCAACGTCTTTCAAAAACAAGAAATCTGGGGTACCAAAATTCTTGGAAATTTTTATAAAAATAAAACATTTGGGGACTTCAAGATTGTTTCAAACAAAACCCCACGATTGTTCTAACTTCTTTCAAAACAAATACATCAATGCTTTCAAGATCTTTCAACTTTTTCCAAAATTAAACTCCAAGAGATCTCAAGATTCTTTAAAATTCTTGCAAAATAAAACACTAGTGGTTCGCGAGATTTATTCTTTCAACTTCTTCTAAAACTAAACCACCATGGACTGCCAAAATTCTTTCAACTTTTTTAAAAATAAAACACTGGAGGCCCCTAAGATCATTCAATTTCTTCCAAAAATAAAACACCAAGGGACCTCAAGATTTTTTATAATTCCTTCAAAATGGAACACCACAGGCTCCCAGAATTCTTTCCACTTCTTCCAAAAACAAAACTTAAGACCGTCAAGATGTTTTTCAAATTCTTTCAAAATAAAACATCAGTGCTCTCCGAAATTCTTTGCTCTCCGAAATTCTTTTAACTGCGTCCAAAAATTAAACACTTCTCCCCAAGATTCTTTTAGATTTTTTTAAAAATAAGAAACTAGTGATGTTCGAGATTCTTTCAACTTTTTCCAAAAAGTAAAACATCATGGGTCGCCAAAATCATTTCAATTTCTTTCAAAAATAAAACATTTGGGACCACCAAGACTATCCTAACTTCTTCCAAAAATAAAACACCAGGGGCTCCGAAGGTATTTACTTTTATATTCTTCCAAAATAATACACCAAGGGACTTCAAAATTATTCCAAAGTCTTTCAGAAATAGAACACCAAAAGCTCTCAGGATTGTCTCAAATTCTTTCAGAAACAAAACACCAAGGACCTCCAAGATTTTTTCCACTTCTTCCAAAAATAAAACCCTAAGGACCCAAGATTCTTTTAAATACTTCTAAAAATAAAGCACCTAGTACTCTCAAAGTTCTAACTTCTTTCAAAAAATGCAAAAATAAAAACCAGTGGTCCCCTAGATTTTTTTCATCTTCTACTAAAAATAAAACACTAGGTGCCCCCAAGATTGTTTCCACTTCTATGAAAAAAAAGGACACCAACACTAAATTTAATTTTTTACCAAAAATAAAACACTAGGAATCCAAGATTGTTTCATCTTCTACCAAAAAAAGAACACCAGTGCCCCCTAACATTGTTTAATCTTTTGCCAAAAATAAAACACTGGGAACCCAAGATTGTTTCATCTTCTACCAAAATAAAACACCTGGTGCCCCCTGATTTTTTCATCTTCTACCAAAAATAAAACACTAGGTGGTCTCTAGTTTGTTTCAACTTCTACTAAAAAAATAGAACATCAGTGGCCCCTAACATTGTTTAATCTTTCTCCAAAAATAAAGAACACCAAGAACCCCCAAGATTGTTTCATTTTCTACCAAAAATAAAACACCAGGTACCCCTGATTTTTTGATCTTCTGCCAAAAATCAAACACTAGGTGTCCTCAAGATTGTTTCAACTTCCACTAAAAAAAAAACACCAGGGGCTCCTAACATTGTTTAATCTTTTGCCAAAAATAAAATACTAGGAATCCAAGATTGTTCCAATTTCTACAAAAAATGAAGCACCAAGGTCCCCCAAGATTGTTTCATCTTCTACCAAAAATAAAACACCAAAAAAACCCAAGATACCTTTATATTCTTCCAAAATAAAACCCCTAGGGTCCTCAAGATTGTTATAAATTCTTTCAGAAACAGCACCAAAGTCCTCCCCAGTTTTTTCAACTTTTTCCAGAAATAAAACCTTTGGAAACCCCAAGATTCTTCAAAATTCTTCCAAAATTATAACACCAAGGACCCCCAAGATACTTTCAACGTCTTTCAAAAACAAGAAATCAGGGGTCCCAAAATTCTTGGAAACTTTTATAAAAATAAAACATTTGGGGACCTCAACATTGTTTCAAACAAAACCCCACGATTGTTCTAACTTCTTTCAAAACTAATACACCAAGGCTTCCAAGATCTTTCAACTTTTTCCAAAATTAAACTCCAAGAGATCTCAAGATTCTTTAAAATTCTCGCAAAATAAAACACTAGTGGTTCGCGAGATTTATTCAACTTCTTCTAAAATTAAACCACCATGGACTTCCAAAATTGTTTCAACTTTTTCTAAAAATAAAACACCGGAGGCCCCTAAGATCATTCAATTTCTTCCAAAAATAAAACACCAAGGGACCTCAAGATTTTTTATAATTCCTTCAAAATGAAACACCACAGGCTCCCAGAATTCTCTCCATTTCTTCCAAAAACAAAACTTAAGACCGTCAAGATTTTTTTCAAATTCTTTCAAAATAAAACAGTGCTCTCCGAACTTCCTTTAACTGCGTTTAAAAATTAAACACTACCCCCTAAGATTCTTTTAGATTTTTTCAAAAAGTAAAACATCATGGGTCGCCAAAATCATTTCAATTTCTTTCAAAAATAAAACATTTGGGACCACCAAGACTGTCCTAACTTCTTCTAAAAATAAAACACCAGGCGCTCCGAATTCTTCCAAAATAAGACACCAAGGGACTTCAAAATTATTCCAAAATCTTTCAGAAATAGAACACCCAAAGCTCTCAGGATTGTCTCAAATTCTGACAGAAACAAAACACCAAGGACCTCCAAGATTTTTTCAAAATAAAACACTAACCCCGCCCTCCAAGATTCTTTTAAATACTTCTAAAAATAAAACACCTAGTACTGTCAGTCCCCTAGATTTTTTTCATCTTCTACTAAAAATATAACACTAGGTGCCCCCAAGATTGTTTCCATTTCTATGAAAAAAAAAAAAAAAGAACACCAGGGGTCCTCAACACTAAATTTAATCTTTTACCAAAAATAAAACACCAAGAACCTAAGATTGTTTCATCTTCGACCAAAAATAAAACACTAGGTGGTCTCTAGTTTGTTTCAACTTCTACTAAAAAAAAAGAACATCAATGGCTCCAAACATTGTTTAATCTTTTGCCAAAAATAAAACACTAGGAATCCAAGATTGTTCCAATTTTATTTTCTTAGAAGAATAAGTCATCTGCCAAAATCAGTCTCATATTGACAAGTACTAGCCCCGCCCACCCACCCTTTACTTTCTTAGAAGAATGGGTCATCTGCCAAAGTCAGTCTTATCTTGACAAGTACTAGCCCCACCCACCCACCCTTATTTTCCTAGAGAATATGTCATTTGCAAAAATCAGCGTCATACTTGCCAAGATAAGATTGATTTTGGCAGATGACCTACTCTTCTAAGAAAACAAGGGGTGGGTGGGTGGGGCTAGTACCTTTTCTTAGAAGAGTAGGTCATTTGTCAAAGTGAGTCTTATTTTGGCAAATACTAACCTGGCCTATGCGCCTTTTATTTTCTTAGAGGATAGATTATTTGGCAAGTACTACCATTGTGTAAAATTTCATTTTTGAAAAAGTTGTCTAAAAATTCTGAAAAAATTCAGAGATATATTCCGACGTGTTGATTCCAAAAATATAGCATGGTTATGGTCACGAAGTAATATTTTTTCGAATGTATCTTCGAAATTTCGAAGTTGTTATTCAATTTTCTTTCAGCTTTTTGGGAAATTCGCTGATCCGAACAAATCGCTACTCCGAACACACCGTTCCCCAATTAATTCGGATTATCGAGGTTATACTGTATTTCGATTTTTGAAATTTTGACATTTTTAAATTTTCAGTTTTCCAATTTCTGAAGTAATCTTTTTTTTTATTTTCCCATTTCTTCCCAAAGTTTCCATTTTTCACTTCTTCGATTTCTCAGATTTTTTATTTTTCAATTTTTCGAATTTTTGAACTTACGATTTTTCGACTTCTGGATTTCCCGATTTTCAGTTTTTCGTTTTTTAAACTTTGGATTTTTCAATTTTTCGGCTGTATTATATTTCGATTTCTCAATTAATCAACTTTTGCATATTTTAATTTTTCAGTTTTTTAAAATTCTAGATTTGTGATTTCTCTAGTTTTCAGTTCCTCTATATTTCTGTATTTCAATTTTCGGGATTTTAAAAATTTTCGATTTTCCATCTTTTTTTTAACCTTTCGATTATCCAATTTTTCGATGTTTCGATTTTTCAATGATCCGATTTTTCAATTTCACAGTTTTTATTAAATTTTAGATTTTCCATTTTTTTATTTTTTTGTTTTTTTCATGTTTGGTTTATTTATTATTGCTAAAAGATAAAGCAAAAAATAACTACCAAAATTGTGACTAAAAATATACAAAAATAATAATAACTGTACTTTCCCAAAAAATCTCTTTTATTTTCCCATTTCTCGACTTCCCAAAGTTTCAATTTTTCACTTCTTGAATACTTGAATTTTTCCATTTTTCAGGATTTTGATTTTTCAATTCAAGTTTAGATGTTTCAATTTTCCAGTATTTCAATTATGGACATTTTCAATTTTTCAATTCTTCAAATTTTCGGTTTCTCGATTTTTCAATTTTCCGATGTTTCAATGATACAATTTCTCAATTTTTTTCCCCCGATTATTTTACGATTTCTAAATATTTTGATTTTTGAATTTTTCAAATTTTGATGTTTTTAAATTTTCAGTTTTTCGATTTCTGAAGTAATCTTTTTTTTATTTTCCCATTTCTTCCCAAAGTTTCGATTTTTCACTTCTTCAATTCTTCAATTTTTCGATTTTTCAGGATTTCGGTTCGAATAAATTTGTTCTTTTAGTTAAAAAATCGAAAAATGACAAATCGTGAAAAGGAAAAATTTTAACTTGCGAATTTAAAAAATTAAAAATCAAAAAATTCAAAAATTGTGAAGTTAAAACTTGAAAAATAAAAAGATTGTCAAACAAATTATCAAATGAAATATTCAAAAGTTGAAAAATCTAAAAACTGATTAAACATTGTTTAATCTTTCTCCAAAAATAAAGAACACCAAGAACCCCCAAGATTGTTTCATTTTCTACCAAAAATAAAACACTAGGTGTCCTCAAGATTGTTTCAACTTCTACTAAAAAAAAGAACACCAGGGGCCCTTAACATTGTTTAATCTTTTGCCAAAAATAAAACACTATGAACCCAAGATTGTTTCATCGTTTACCGAAAATAAAACACCAGGTGCCCCCAATTTTTTTATCTTCTACCAAAAATAAAACACTAGAAATCCAAGATTGTTCCAGTTTCTACAAAGAAAGAACACCAGGAAGCCCCCGATTGTTTTATCTACCAAAAATAAAACACTAGGTGCCCTCAAGATTGTTTCGATTTTTTGGAGTCTGTCTAATACATGTTAAGTTTAAAAAAAATTGTACAAAAAAATTTTACGACTTAATTTAGAGGACCACAAAACCAATTGGTTTGAGATTGTGCACACGCTTTAAAGTTGTCGTATCATGTGCCCCTTCCAAGTACTTGATGACGACATCTCATAATTGTGCTAAGCAAATTTCGTTCAAATTTTATTTTCGAAATGCTCTCGGAAATTGTACAGATTTTTCGTTTTTCAGGTGACGGCGTCAACGACTCCCCCGCCTTGAAGAAGGCCGACATCGGCGTGGCCATGGGCATCGCCGGCTCCGACGTGTCCAAGCAGGCCGCCGACATGATCCTGCTCGACGACAACTTCGCCTCTATCGTAACCGGAGTGGAAGAAGGACGGCTCATCTTCGATAATCTTAAGAAATCCATCGCCTACACCCTCACCTCCAACATTCCCGAGATCTCTCCCTTCCTCGCTTTCATCCTGTGCGACATTCCTTTGCCCCTCGGTACCGTAACAATTCTCTGCATCGATCTCGGAACAGACATGGTGAGTTGAACCGCACTTTCCACTAGTATGGTTATTGTTTTCATTACCCCATGAATACAAAATAATGAGATATTTATAAGTTGATAAGGCATCAGTTGTACGGTTATATACATGTTGTTTCATCGAAGGTGCCGGCCATTTCTCTCGCTTACGAAAAAGCCGAATCCGACATTATGAAACGACGACCACGTGACCCGTACGCTGATAAATTAGTTAACGAAAGGTACAAATAAAACAGTGCGATAAGCATGTAGTTTTCTTTTTGGAGATTTTTCTTATGAAATTTGCACTGGTAGGCTCGGTTATTCAAACACTTCTGTTTTTACGTTTATGAATTGTAGATAGTTGACGTTCCGTTTTTCAGTAGATATTTTTTTTATTATCATAATTATTATTGTGCGGAAGGTCACGATTTAACCGACAAGGTACGTTGTTTCAGAATTGCGTCTTGCTCAGTTACTTTCGTTACTTTATTATTGTGTTCATGTCCCGTAGGCTTTTTCTTCTCACCTGAGCCTGATAGAATTTAGCGAGCTACAGAGTTTGCATCAATAAGTTTCTGTTTCCTTTGTCCGTACAACCAAGACAATCGATCACTTATCACAGACCATATTTTATTTATCTTTTTTTTTTTATTTTTGGTGAAATTTAGGTGCCGGCCATTTCTTTGGCGTACGAAGAAGCTGAATCTGATATTATGAAGAGACCACCCCGAGATCCGTTGAACGATAAACTTGTCAATGATAGGTGCTGTTTTACTCTTTTGTTTTTCGCTAACAATGTGGTCGTTTTATTTTGTACTGTTTTTTAACTAACTGTACATATTTGCAGTTTATTGGGGTATTAAACACTAATAACGGGTTGCACTGATGCCTGGTGGGTTATAATGTAACTGCATGCCATTGGAAATAACTAAATTAACCAGTCACTTGTGACCATTTTTGTTTTGTTTTTTTTTGGTTTTGGTTTTATTAATCATTAACTTGGTGACAAGATAAACAGTGTTGTTGAGCTTTTTGTCTTGTCGATGGGGTTGTAACATTTGGTTTTTGTCGTTGGGTTATACTGTATAGCTATTATTATTAAGGACAAAAGACACAAACACACATTTCCCCTCCATATATCACGCATAAAGCGTAGTCGCCTTGCTTGGCACAGCTGGCTCGACCCCTAGTCTCTTATTAGAAGTTCATAGAAGATGTGCGAATCATAGCTGTAGTTGTCATGACACGTCCATTACGTCACATAGTCAAAGCTCGTTCTCTGGTGACGTAATGGACGTTTCGGCGCGCGCACATCTAGACTAGACTTAGGCAAGTCAAGGAGCAGTGCTGGCATGTAAGTGTGCCCTCCCGGTTCATTTGTAATCCCTCCATCTCCCAAATTTTTGTTTTGACGTGTATTTGTTTGGCCGAGCTCAGGTCCCCGCCATATCCCTGGCATACGAGGAGGCAGAGTCTGATATAATGAAGCGCCGTCCTAGAAACCCTTTCAGTGATAAACTCGTCAACGAAAGGTAATAGGAATGTCACGTGTTCTCTCCACTTCATTCTACCTTTACATACTAAGAGAGATTGGATCAGAACGGCTGCATCGAATCGATGTGTCCGACGTATCGTATGCCATGTGTACGCGATAACTTCTGCTTCCCCTTCTCTCCCACCCCGTGTGTTTATTCAACTCTGTATACCTTCGATCACTTTATTTCGCTTTTTTGCTTGTCGCGGCGGCCGAGCGCCCCATTACACAGTCAGTGGAGATTTGCGATAATCCACGATACGCTCGAGGTGGCGCGCTCGGCCGCCGGCTCGCGCTTTGCCGCGCTGTGGTACAGGGTAAGTTTTATTTATTTGTAAGCAGCACATCATTCATTCTGCACCCCGCTTATCAGCTAAGGCCCCGTTCCTCCTCCCGGCCCGCAACCTCTTTCAACACACCAGTCTAGACAGGTCTACTCAACTTCTGCATGTTTGATTTCTCACTACTAACTTTGTGTGTTGCGCCGGCCACTGTATAGGTGCCTGCTATTTCTCTGGCTTACGAAGCCCCGGAGTCCGACATAATGAAACGTCAGCCGCGCGACCCCTATAGGGACAACCTGGTTAATCGCAGGTGGGTCGCTGAGCGGTGTCGTGGCGGGTAACAGCACCACAACTACAACCTCGGCACATGATGATGGCGCGGTCATAAGTGTCCCTGATTACTTACTATACGTGATGTTGCGTCATTGCTGCCTGTCACTATGTTGGCGTCCGAACGCTATGACGTTTTGGCACTTTGTGATTTGAAAGACACCCATTGTACTGTTAGCACCGTATACGAGTTGCAGGCAGACGAAATGCGACCTTGACTTGAGTTTTTTAATTGGGTTTGGGGGATTACGGCGCGGCGAGGTTCAGTCTAGCGAAAGAAATTGCAAGCTTGTGGTGGGCACTAAAAGGTAGGAACAAGACTTAAAACTTTAAGTAGTCGCAATTCTTACGCTCACCCAGATTGTCACAACTAGAATTTATTCTGTAAACGGCATTGTTTTAGCTCAAAGAACTCCAATTAATCTTTTTTCAGTCGTTTTTGATAAATGTAGATAAAGAAATTTTAATCTCTATGGTTTCCACAAGAAACTTCAAATTTGTCCATTTTTTTTGAACACCCTGTATATATCGCCTATTTGTTGGATTTTAATGTCATTGCATTTCACAAGCATCCGGGCTCCCAAGATTTTTTAAATTTCTTTTGGAAAAAAAAACACAAATTGTCCACAAGATTCTTGAAAATTCTTTAAAAAAGCACCAGGGGTCCTCAAAATTATTTAAAATTGATTCTAAATAAAACATTAGGGACCCCCAAGATAATTTCAACAAACCAAAAGAGTTCTAAAATTGTCTACACACTTCAAAGTGATCGTAGTTTCCTCATAATTTCGATTTGTTGGAATTGTAGTACAGGGACGAAATGTATATACAGGGTGAATTATTAGAAATAGAAAAAAACCAGAAGTTGTATCGTTCTTTGAAAACTATATTTTCTAACATTATTTTTAGCTATACAGAGTGTTCTGTTTTTAAGATGTAACACATAATTTAGTGATTTTTTTATGAGATACCCTATATATCTTTACATATTTTGATTGACCTCATTATTACTTTACATCCACAGTTTACTTTTGGAATTCCGATGCGACGTTGCCACGTTACTCTAATTTTCTTGAATTTTTATCATTGGACGGGTTCAAAAAAAGAAAGTAGGGTTGTTTTTAAAGTCTGTCTTACAATATTCTATGGAGAGATAAAGAAAGGTGGCGCTTTGTTATAGTATAAATGACATTAAATACAGAGTGTTTATAAAAAATGTTTTAATTCTTTAATTTAACCTTTTATTTTATAATATTTTTTGTTCTGTATTTGTTGATAGTTATGGCGATTTTTTATTTTTTCGTTAAAAGAATGATGCCAAGAAAAAGAGTAAAATACAGAGTGTTTCATTTGAAAAACTGAACTATCGAGATTTGAAAATTGTAAAGTTCTAGAATTTTGTAAACACTCTGTAAACTGTAAATATTTATAGGGTGTTTCATTTAAAATGCTAATTTGTGTGATAGTCTTAATATCTATCATATAAATAATTATCGAGAACCGCGCACTTAATGAGTCACCCTGTATATAAACTACCTGTTGAATTTTAAAATGTCTACATTTTTTCAAAAGCAAGATATCAAGGCTCCTAAGATTTTTTTAAATTTTTTTCAGAAAGCAAACACCAAACACGAATTGTACTACAGGGTGTTTAAATAATTATTTGGTAAGATAAGACTGATTTTGGCAAATGACATTTTCTCTAAGAAAACACAATAATATATCAATTTTTGCTTTTTTCGTGCTTTTCAATTGTCGTCCCCCTCAATTTTTTAAGCCCTTGATTTTCATCTTTCATTTCCCATTTTTGTGTCATCATTTTCTCGATTTTGTATCACAATTCTTCGTTTATTCAATTTTTGATTTTTCAGTTTTTGCAGTTTTTGGATTTCTCAATTTTGCGATTTTCCGATTTCTTCAATTTTCAGCATTTCGATTTTACAAAATTTCGTACTGTTCATATTTTCAAGTTTCTCAATTTTTAATTTTTCCATTTTTAAATTTGTCGTTTTCTCAATTTTTTAAGTTGTTCATTTCAGGTTTTCCGAAGTTTTCGTCCCATACTTTTTCGTTTTTCTTTTGATTTTTTAATTTTACAATTTTCAAGTTTGAAATTTTTTGATTCCAAAAATTTTAATTGCTGATTTTTCAATTTCCCGATTCTTAGATTTTTCAATTTTTTGACTTCTCAGTTTTTAATTATTCGATTTTTCGTTTTTTCAACTTTAATTTTTTCAAATTTTCAATTTTTTGTTTCTAAAAATTTTCGAATGGCAATTTTCCGTAATTACAATTTTTCATTTTTCGATTTTTCCATTTTCCGTTTCCTCAATTTTTCAAGTTTTTGATTTTTATTTCCATTTTCCCAATTTTTTTATTTTTCTTTTCTCGATTTTTGATCACAATTTTTCCTTTATTTTTTCAATGTTTTTGATTTTATATTTTTTCGTTTATTCAATTTTTCAAATTTTCAACGTGATTTTTCAATTTTTTAATTTTCCAATTTTGCATTTATTTTGCATGTAGATAAAGAAATTTTAATCTCTATGGTTTCCACAACAAGAAACTTCAAATTTGTCCTTTTTTTTTTGAACACCCTGTATATATCGTCTATTTGTTGGATTTTAATGTCATTGCATTTCACAAGCATCCGGGCTCCCAAGATTTTTTAAATTTCTTTTGGAAAAAAAAAAACCCAAATTGTCCACAAGATTCTTGAAAATTCTTTAAAAAAGCACCAGGGGTCCTCAAAATTATTTAAAATTGATTCTAAAATAAAACATTAGGGACCCCCAAGATAATTTCAACTCACCAAAAGAGTTCTAAAATTTTCTACACACTTCAAAGTGATCGTAGTTTCCTCATAATTTCGATTTGTTGGAATTGTAGTACAGGGACGAAATGTATATACAGGGTGAATTATTAGAAATAGAAAAAAACCAGAAGTTGTATCGTTCTTTGAAAACTATATTTTCTAACATTATTTTTAGCTATACAGAGTGTTCTGTTTTTAAGATGTAACACATAATTTAGTGATTTTTTTATGAGATACCCTATATATCTTTACATATTTTGATTGACCTCATTATTACTTTACATCCACAGTTTACTTTTGAAATTCCGATGCGACGTTGCCACGTTACTCTAATTTTCTTGAATTTTTAGCATTGGAAGGGTTCAAAAAAAGAAAGTAGGGTTGTTTTTAAAGTCTGTCTTACAATATTCTATGGAGAGATAAAGAAAGGTGGCGCTTTGTTGTGGTATAAATGAGATTAAATACAGAGTGTTTATAAAAAATGTTTTAATTCTTTAATTTAACCTTTTATTTTATAATATTTTTTGTTCTGTATTTGTTGATAGTTATGGCGATTTTTTATTTTTTCATTAAAAGAATGAGGACAAGAAAAAGAGTAAAATACAGAGTGTTTCATTTGAAAAACTGAAATATCGAGATTTGAAAATTGTAAAGTTCTAGAATTTTGTATAAACACTCTGTAAACTGTAAATATGTATAGGGTGTTTCATTTAAAAAGCCAAGTTGTGTGTTAGCCTTGATATCTATCATATAAATAATTATCGAGGACCGCACACTTAATGAGTCACCCTGTATATAAACTACCTGTTGAATTTTAAAATGTCTACATTTTTTCAAAAGCAAGATATCAAGGCTCCTAGGCTTTTTTTAAACTTTTTTCAGAAAGCAAGCACCAAACACGAATTGTACTACAGGGTGTTTAAATAATTATTTGCTAAGATAAGACTGATTTTGGCAAATGACATTTTCTCTAAGAAAACACAATAATATATCAATTTTTGCTTTTTTCGTGCTTTTCAATTGTCGTCCCCCTCAATTTTTTAAGTCCTTGATTTTCATCTTTCATTTCCCATTTTTGTGTTATCATTTTCTCGATTTTGTATCACAATTCTTCGTTTATTCAATTTTTGATTTTTCAGTTTTTGCAGTTTTTGGATTTCTCAATTTTGCGATTTTCCGATTTCTTTAATTTTCAGTATTTCGATTTTACAAAATTTCGTACTGTTCATATTTTCAAGTTTCTCAATTTTTAATTTTTCCATTTTTAAATTTGTCGTTTTCTCAATTTTTTAAGTTGTTCATTTCAGGTTTTCCGAAGTTTCGTCCCATACTTTTTCGTTTTTCTTTTGATTTTTTAATTTTACAATTTTCAAGTTTTAAATTTTTTGATTCCAAAAATTTTAATTGCTGATTTTTCAATTTCCCGATTCTTAGATTTTTCAATTTTTTGACTTCTCAGTTTTTAATTATTCGATTTTTCGGTTTTTCAACTTTAATTTTTTCAAATTTTCAATTTTTTGTTTCTAAAAATTTTCGAATGGCAATTTTCCGTAATTACAATTTTTCATTTTTCGATTTTTCCATTTTCCGTGTCCTCAATTTTTCAAGTTTTTGATTTTTATTTCCATTTTCCCAATTTTTTAATTTTTCTTTTCTCGATTTTTGATCACAATTTTTCCTTTATTTTTTCAATGTTTCTTTTGATTTTATATTTTTTCGTTTATTCAATTTTTCAAATTTTCAACGTGATTTTTCAAGTTTTTAATTTTCCAATTTTGCATTTATTAATATTAATTAATTAATTGATCACTTCGAAGTTTTCTTTAAGCATTTTGACCATTGAAAAAAACCCTTTACTTTCTTAGAGAGTATGTCATTTCTCAAAATCAGTCTTATCTTAGCAAGTACTAACCCCCCTTGATTTCCTCAGAGGGTAGTACTTGCTAGTACTTGCTAAGATAAAATTGATTTTGGGAAATGATAAACCTTCTAAGAAAATAGAGGGTGGGTGGGCGGGGCTAGTACTTGCCAATATAAGGTTGATTTTGGAAAATGACGTAGACTTTAAGAAAATAGAGGGCGGGTGGGTGGGACTGGTATTTGCTATATAGAGGGTGGGTGGGTGGGTGGGCGGGTGGGGCTAGTACTTGCCAAGATAAAACTGATTTTGGAAAATGACATAAGACTTCAAGAAAATAGAGGGCGGGTGGGCAGGACTAGTATTTGCTAAGATAAGATTTATTTTAGCAAATAATAAATCTTGTAAGAAAATAGAGGGCGGGTGGGCGGGACTACTATTTGCTAAGATAAGCTTTTAAAATACAAGACGGATTTCGGCAAATGACATTCGTCTAAGAAAATATAATAATATAATAATTTTTCGTTTTTCCTTCTTCTATTTTACAAGTTTTTGATATCGCAAGTTTTGCTTTTTTGTGTTTTTAACTTTTCATCTTTAATTTTTCAATATTGCAGTTTTTGTATTTCTCAATTATCCGGTTTTTCGATTTCTTTCATTTTCAGTATTTCGATTTTACAATACTTCGCACTTTTTCTATTTTTAAGTTTCTCAATTTTTAATCTTTCCATTTTTCAATTTGTCGTTTTTTTAATTTTTCAAGTTGTAGATTTCAAATTTTCAGATTTTCCAAAGTTTTCGTCTTATACTTTTTCGTTTTTCTATTGATTTTAAAATCTTACAATTTTGAAGTTTTTCATTTTTTGATTTGAAAATTTAAATTGTTGATTTTTCAATTTTTCGGTTTCTCAGTTTTTGGTTATTCAATTTTTCGTTCTTGCAGTTTTTCGATTTTACAATTTCTTGATATCATAATTTTTCGTTTTTTCAACTTTAATTTTTTTCAAATTTTCAATTATTCGTTTCTTCAAATTTTCGAATGGCAATATTCCGTTATTACGATTTTTTATTTTTCATTTTCCCGATTTTATGTCACTATTTTTATAATTATAATCAGTGACGAAATTTGTATAATATGCAAAATAATTGACCCACATAACTCAGTGTTCAATCAGTATATGGGGTGGAGCATAAGAAAGTGACGGAAATTGCGGGTTTCCGACTTTTGGTTACTTTTTAGTGCCCGCGCAGTACATTGACATTTCTTCTCGATTTTCACTCTAGCATATTTTTTGATTCTTTTTTCTATCTTCTGCCTTAGCCTTCGCTTTAAGGCGTTTTCTAACTGTTACTACATTTTTACGTAGTTTAAGCTAAAAATTTTTTGCCGAGGTATAGTTTGTGATGCCCGTAGAAGAGCATTTTTAGAGGAAGCACAGTTATTTTAGCGATTTTTTTTCCTGCTCTAGGTGTGTTGGACACACACGAGATAATCTGCCTTCAACATAGTTCTTTCTGTTTCTCTCATAGATTAGACTTAGCGTTATAGTTTGTAGTTTCTAAAGACCAGTTTTGCATGCGACACAACACCTGTCTAAATTTAACCTTTATTACCTTCCTCGGTATGCTTCTTTGGAATAGATCTATGGATTTCATAGATTTAAGTAGCGTAGTTAGCTTAGTTTTTGTTTTGTTTTTGTACAGAAGAGGTGAAATTTTGCCTAGACGGTACTAAGAGTTTCCGACCAGCTTGTTAAGTCATAGTTCCGACATTGTAGCACCAACTTGATTGAAATTAATTTCGTGCACTCGACAGTGCGTTTCGCTTTGTTTGGTTTGAGCGTTTAAAGGATTCACCTCGTAAGCAGTCGCAGTGAATCTTTTAAAAATACCTTTTGCCTTTTTCTCTTTTAATCTTTTATAATAATGAAACTTTCCAAACAGTTTTAGTCCGTTGTTTTACGATCAAGTAAGTAATTTTCGTTTTGATATTCAAAGAACCATACAGGGTCCCTCCACTAACCCACACTCCCGTATGAAGCAGAAGTAACGCTTACAGTACGATGGTGCACCGTTTTCTTATCATGTCACTTAAGTCAGTCAGTCGCAGTCAGTCAGTCTCACCCCAGCACATGATATAAAAGCGTTGTAACTCACTCGATGGTAATATGTATACTTAATGTACAGATTGCATGCGGTTTAATGTAATTGTGCTATAAATGTAACAGCATGAAACGTGGGATGTGCTTTCGTAAGTATGTGGGACTTGCCGTGGTTTTTTCGACCGAAAAACCACCCTTTCACACTGAGTGAGCGTTCGAAAAAATCCCGGCAAGGAGTCAAATATTCTGTCGACCCCCTTCTAACTCTCCCGTCCAACGCACAGGTTGATCTCGATGGCGTACGGCCAGATCGGCATGATCCAGGCCGCCGCCGGCTTCTTCGTCTACTTCGTCATCATGGCTGAGAACGGCTTCAGACCGACCGACCTCTTCGGCATCAGAAAGCAGTGGGATTCCAAGGCCGTCAACGATCTCAAGGACTCGTACGGACAAGAATGGGTGAGTGTGTCGAGCGCAGCGAGCGGGGTTGAGCTGACGCTTCGGTTTGCAGACATATCGAGACAGGAAGACGCTGGAGTACACGTGCCATACCGCTTTCTTCGTTTCCATCGTCGTCGTACAGTGGGCTGATTTGATCATCTGCAAGACTCGTCGCAACTCCATCGTCCACCAGGGCATGCGTAATTGGGCTCTCAATTTCGGGCTGGTGTTCGAGACCGCCCTCGCCGCCTTCCTCTCGTACACGCCGGGCATGGACAAGGGCTTGCGCATGTTCCCGCTCAAGTGAGTACAGTTACATATTGCTATATATATATAGTTTGTATACTCGTAAAATTTTGCGACCGCACTTCTAATTATGACCTCATGTTATGTTCTGACGAACATACGACAGCATAAGTTTAAAATTAAATGCGCAAACTATTATTTTTAGGACGCAAAAGATGAAATTTGTTTTGGAGTTTGGGTATCCATCGCTGGAAAAAAAAAATCAGGAGCTCTCACACATATCTTTTGAGCTCGGATTCTTGTTCAAGTGGTTCGAATTAGCCGAGAGAGCAGTTTTTAGACAGATCGGGAGATTTTTTTGACTTAATTTTTTCGAATTCTGAATTTTTTTATGAATAAGCAATCTCGCTTAAAAAGTTTAGATTCGTCTAAAAATCAGTCCTGGTACTAATTCGAACCTCCTGAAAAAGAATCCGGGCTCAAAAGATGTTTGGAGGACCTCTTGAATTTTTAAAATTTTTTTATGAGGACATTCCCCAAAAATGACATCGTCCGATGTATCCGTCTGTTGATTCTAAATGGGTATAGAGTGCGGCTTGAAAATCGAGAAGTACGACTGACAAACTTCAAAGAACCGAATGGTGAAAACCGAAATCCGATATCTCATCGGGTTCCGGAGTTACGGGTCGATAAAAGTGAAATTTGTTTTTTGAGTATGGGTGTCGATCGCTGAAAAATTAAAAAAAAAAAACAGAAAGTGTTACAGATATCTTTCGAGTTCGGATTCTTGTTCAAGTGGTTCGACTTAGTCGAGAGTTTTTAGACAGATCGGGAGATTTTTTTTGACTTAATTTTTTGTAATTTTGATTTTTTTGGGATTTAGAGCACATTTCGCTATCTCGCTTAAAAAGACTTAGATTCGTCTGAAAATTAGTCCTGGTACTAATTCGAACCTCGTGAAAAAGAATCCGAGCTCAGAAGATGTTTGGGGGACCTTTTGAATTTTTTTGATTTTTTTTATGAGGACATTTCCCAAAAATGACATCGTCCAATGTATCCGTCTGTTGATTCTAAATGGGTATAGAGTCCGGTTTGAAAATCAATCAGTACGACTAACAAACCTCAAAGAACCGAATGGTGAAAACCAAAATCCGATATCTCATCGCGTTCCGGAATTACGGGTCGTTAAAAGTGAAATTTATTTTTTGAGTATGGGTGTCGATCGCTGAAAAATTCAAAAAAAAATTCTGAAAGTGTCACAGATATCTTTTGAGTTCGGATTCTAGTTCAATTTGTTCGACTTGGTCGAGAGAGCAGTTTTTAGACAGATCGGGAGATTTTTTTTTGACTTAATTTTTTGGAATTTTGATTTTTTGAAAATTAGTCCTGGTACTAATTCGAACCTCGTGAAAAAGAATCCGGGCTCAAAAGATTTTTGAGGGACCTCTTGAATTTTTTTAATTTTTTTCATGATGACATTCCCCAAAAATGACATCGTCCGTTATATTTTGCTTACGATCGGGAAGTATTGTAATCGAGTACGTCTGCTGAGTCTTTACTTTTGCGTTTTCTCGACCTTTCAAAATCTCCGAAAGTACTAGGCTGATTGTTGTCAAACTTTGTATTTATATTAGGAATATCATTAAATTTGTCTAATCATCCCCACCAATAACGTGATGACGTCACTCCACAATTGTACATAGTAAACAGGTTTTAAATTGTATAAAATAACAAAGTTCTATAGGTATATACATGGTTTATGACTCCATGTTGAGTTTTTACCCGAAACATCCAGTTTTTGAAAAAAATTAAAATTATAAAACAACATTATGCAATGTAATTTTGAATCGCATGATAAATTTTTAATCAAAATATATTTACTTATCCCCTCCAAAAAATTGTTGACGTCAGCTCAAAATTTTGCCGAATAAATCCTATCTAAAATGTACAAAATATGATGAGTCTCTTCTTGTAATTTATCATTCCATTCATATTTATTGGATTTGCATATACAGGGTGACTCAAAAAGAAATAATGAATGCGTGAATTATTTTACTGATTTAATCAAGAAGTAAACCTTAGAGATCTTTTAAAGTCATCACAAGCATTGTCAATTTTTGATTAAAATGTATTTGCTCATCCCCCCTAAAAAAATTGATGACGTCACCTCAAAATTTTGACGAATAAATCCAATCTTAAATGTGCAAAATAAGATGAGTCTATACTTGTGATCCATCACTGATTAATATTTTTTAGATTTGCTTATACAGGTGTCCCAAAAAAATTACTGAATGCGTAAATTAATTTTATTGATTAAATCGAGAATTGCAAAACTGAATACTTTGAAATCTTGCAGATGTTTTGAAATTGTACATCTTTCGACCAACAAGAAACTTATTTAAAATGGTAAATTTTTAAGGCAATTGGATTTTGCAATTACGCTCCGCCCCTCGGTCTAACAACGAATGAAAAATTCATCACAATTGAGATAGGGTGGGTGGGCGGGGCTTATATTTTGCCTTATTTTCTTAATATACGTAGCCTTCTTTTCACAACAAGAAATTTAAAATCTGTTGATTCTTAATGGGTGGTTAAAAGTGAAATTTGTTTTTTGAGTATGGGTGTCGATCGCTGAAAAATTCAAAAAAAAAAAAAATCAGAAAGTATCACAGAAATCTTTTGAGTTCGGATTCTTGTTCAAGTGGTTCGAATTAGTCGAGAGAGCAGATCGGGAGATTTTTTTTTTTGAGTTAATTTTTTGGAATTTTGATTTTTCTAGAATTTAGAGCACATCTCGTTATCTCGCTTAAAAAGACTTAGATTGGTCTGAAAATTAGTCCTGGTACTAATTCGAACCTCCTGAAAAAGAATCCGGGCTCAAAAGATTTTTGAGGGACCTATTGAATTTTTTACTGTTTTTTTATGATGACGTTCTCTAAAAATGACATCGTCCAATGTATCCGTCTGTTGATTCTAAATGGGTATAGATTCCGGCTTGAAAATCAACCAGTACGACTGACAAACTTCAAAGAACCGAATGGTGAAAACCGAAATCCGGTATCTCATCCCGTTCCGGTTTTATCGGCTGCCAAACTGGCAATTGGTTTTTTGAGTGTGGGTTTCGATGGCTAAAAAATCAAAAAAAAAAAAAATCCGAAGATCCCGGAGGCAACTTCTGGGCCCGGATTGTTATTGTTTAATAGGTTCGAATTAATACAGAGGGCAATTATCAGACAGATCCGAAAAATTGTTTTTTATTTTTTATTCAATGTTTTCAAATTTTTTTGGATTTAGACCACGTCAAGCTATTTCGCTAAAACAGACTTATATTTGTCTGAAAATGACCCTTTTTACTAATTCGAACCTCCTGAAGACGAATCCGGGCGCAAAAGATATCTCGGGGATTTCCTGAATTTTTTTGGTATTTTTTAACGACACACATTTCCGAAAAATGACACCGTCTGATATATTTGTTTCTTGATTCTAAATGAGTGTATAATTCGGCTTGAAAATCAACCAATACGACTACAAGACTTCAAGAAATCGAGTGGTGAAAACCGGAATCCGGTATCTCATTCCGTTCCGGTGTTATCGGTTGTCAAACTGGAAATTTGTTTTTTGAGTGTGGATGTCGATCGCTAAAAAATAAACAAAAAAAAATCCGGGGATCCCGGAGACTACTTTTGGGCCCGGATTATTATTGTTTAATAGGTTCACTTAGTACAGAGAGCCACTTATCAGACAGATCCCGATTTTTTTTGTCTTAATATTTTCAATTTTTTTAGAATTCAGAGCAAATCAAGCTATTTCGGTAAAACAGGCTTATATTTGTCTGAAAACGAATCTTTTTACTAATTCGAACTTCCTGAAGACGAATCCGCGCTCAAAAGATGTCTCGGGGATTTCCTGAATTTTTTTGGTATTTTTTAACGACACACATTTCCGAAAAACGACACCGTCTGAGGTATTTGTTTGTCGATTATAAATGAGTGCATAATTCGGCTTGAAAATCAACCACTGTGACTAAAGGACTTCAAAAAATCAAATGGCGAAAACCGGAATCCGTTATCTCTTCCCGTTCCGGGGTTATCGGCTGTCAAACTGGCAATTTGTTTTTTGAGTGTGGGTGTCGATCGCTAAAAAGTCAAAAAAAAAACCGGAGATCCCGGAGAGAACTTCTGAACCCGGATTATTATTGTTTAATAGGTTCGAATTAATACCGAGAACAATTATCAGACAGATTCAGAAAATTGGTGTTTTTTTTTTATTTTTTTAATTAAATGTTTTCAAATTTTTTAATATTTAGACCACATCAAGCTATCTCGCTAAAACAGACTTATATTTGTCTGAAAATGACCCTTTTTACTAATTCGAACCTCCTGAAGACGAATCCGGGCTCAAAAGATGTCTCGGGGATTTCCTGAATTTTTTTGGTATTTTTTAACGACACACATTCCGGAAAACGACACCGTCTGATGTATTTGTTTGTTGTTTCTAAATGAGTAGATAATTCGGCTTGAAAATCAACTGTTGCAACTAAAAGACTTCAAGAAATCAAATGGCGAAAACCGGAATCCGTTATCTTTTCCCGTTCCGGGGTTGTCGGCTGTCAAACTGGCAATTTGTTTTTTGAGTGTGAGTGTCGATCGCTAAAAAATCAAAAAAAATCCGGGGATCACGGAGAGAACTTCTGGGGCCGGATTATTAATGTTTAATAGGTTCGAATTAATACAGAGAACAATTATCAGACAGGCGGAAGATTTTTTTGAACTTAATTTTTTCGAAAGTGTCTATTTTTTTTTTGTACTACTTTGAACGATTTGAAAAATAATTCGACTTCGAAAAGAGCGCTGTTGATAATCTCTTTGCAAGATTGAAAGATGAATTAGTCTATTTCTGGTAATTTTAAGTTTGTTATTGTTTTCAGGTTCGTGTGGTGGCTGCCCGCGATCCCGTTCATGCTGTCCATCTTCATCTACGACGAGACCCGAAGGTTCTACTTGCGTCGCAACCCCGGCGGATGGCTGGAACAGGAGACCTACTACTAAGCGCATCACTCCGTTTTGCGTACTGCCACCAGGTGGCACTGCGTCTGCTGCCGCAGGTCACAACAACAACAAATAACAACAAACAAAACAAAAAACAATTCACACTCATCTGTCGATCGGAAGGACTCCGTTTCACCCGCCGTGACGGCGTCGTTCCCATGTCGGTCGTTGTGTACAAAATCCTGTTGCTACTTCTAGTAAATTTGCTGCATGCTTACGCTGCAGTCCGTACATTTGTAATTTGAGAGCGATTGAGAGAGAGTGAGAGCGTGCGCGTGAACGAGGGCGAGAGAGCGCGAGCGAGAGGCCGCAGGGCTGCCGTTGGTTGGTAGGTTGGTTGGTTGGTTGGTCTGCGAGTCGAGCAGCAGTGTAGAGACGCAATAGTGTTTTCATACATTCCAAGTTGAAAACAGTTGCCTTAGTGATGTCGGACTGTGTGCGAGTGGGTGGGGGCGGAGCCTTGACGGACGGCGGTTGCTTGTTGCGCGGCCTTCGGGGCTCCGCCACTGAACGTCTTGAACGAGGTAGTATTATTTAGGCTTTCAACACTTAGGTTAGCTAGATTGTAACTGTGTTGTTATATCGTGTTAAGTGTCATACCAGTCGTGCTCAATACACATGACTACTAACTACTATCACGATTGTAAACGTTTGACATTCGTTTCGTTTGTTGTGTATATAGTTTACGTAACGGGCGGGTAGCAGTTACACTGTGTAGGCAGCACGAGTCCATAATATTGTTTCTAAATATTGTTACGTTAAACGTGCGGTTAGTTGTTCAACGTTGGAGCCACACTTCTGGAGGTCTGCTTCTGTAGAGCCCTATTTTCTTATACTCTCTGATGCGCGCTGCGTTGGTCTGAGACCAGCCGACCACGGTATTGTTATCTTATTGTAAATATTTTTAAGTGATCACTTAATTATTTTTCGCTTGTGTTCTTTTCACATTCATGTTTTAGTATGTAACGAAGCTGTATAAATTTGGGTTTTAATAAAATGGATGATAGTATTACACGATACTCTCTTATTCACTCGTTTTTCCCTATAGTGAGATCGAAAAAAATCTCGGAACAATCTCATGACTGTTAAATTGTGTTAGAACCAGTTAACGATTAAAATCCTAACATGAACTGTGAATTTACAAACAATAAAACAAATTTATACCACCTGTTGGCGTCGGTCGAAAATTCGCATATTTCCACTTGGAAAAATAGCAATAATTTGCTACGCTTGTTGAGCAAACTGTGGTGTGGTCACCGTTACGATTAATTTTGGTTAATTATATAAATAATATAACACTTTTCAGTGTAAACGAGGTTAGTTCGATGTAATTTTTAAAAAGACCTGACCTGACTCATTTCACAACCGAGATCTCTAAGTTTAAGCTCCGACCTTGTGAAAATCCGTCCTTTTGCTTATTAAAAAAAATTTCCAATTTTGTAACAAAAGATACTTGGTGGCGGTACTTATTTAATCTTAATTTTTTATAAATCTACATCCACAGTCAGAAATTTCGTTGTTGAAATTAAAATTCACGACATCGAAATTGATTATCAAAATGTCGATAAAAAGGTTTACAATCGATAAAAATTGGTCTAAAGAGTTTAGACAGTACTTCCCTCGCTGTCGGAAACTTGACGACTGCATGCCTATTGTGTTTTTTTTCCCATTACATTTTTGTAGTGGGAATTTAAAAAAAAATTGCGATGACGTCATCAACATTTTTGCAAGGACACGTATATCAGTTGGGATAGATGTAGTGTAATACTAAGAATAAAATTATTATATTCTCAAATTTTCGGGAAAATGAATTGGGTCGTTTTGAATATTGATTTGTAATAATCAATAAAATAACGAAACAATTTACTCACGTATACGTATCAGAGGCAACTGAAAATCGTGTATGTATAAACATTCTTAATTTAAGATGACAGGCGTAACAGCATACGTGAGAGTCAAACAGAGAAACTGTAAACAAAACGACCATCGGTTTTATTGCTTCGACTTCCGCTTATTATATAAAACATTGGGTTTTATTTTAATTCTTGACGGTGAAATTCACAATTAGTTGATTATAAACATGTCTATTTCACATTCGCGGAACCAAGTGAGCGCATAAAACAAATGCAGGTCTGTAATGTTAAAGTCGATGTAAATAAGCGTGCTACCCTTATGTTTCAACCGAGTTTTTCCTTTAACAAATTTTGTGTCTACCAAATTGGGTTGGTTGGGGTGTAATACTAATAATAAGTGTTGCCTTTAATTTAATCAATAAAATAAATTGACTTCATTAATTTTTTTGAACCACCTCTTAAGAAAATCTAAAAAATATGAATGGAATGATAAATCACAAGTACAAACTCATCATATTTTTTGCATTTTAGATAGGATTTATTCAGCACAATTTAAGGGTGACGTCATCAATTTTTTTAGGAGGGATAAACAAATACATTTTGAACAAAAGTTTACCATGCTTATAATAACTTTAAAATATTCCCAAAATTTCAAAGCATTCGGTTTTGTAATTCCTGATTAAATCGATAAAATAAATTCACGCCTTCATTAATTTTTTTCAGTCACCCTGCATATGCAAATCCAAAAATATGAATGGAATGATAAATCACAAGTACAGACTCATCATATTTTGTACATTTTAGATACGATTTATTCGGCAAACTTTTGAGCTGACGTCATCAGTTTTTTGTAGAAGATAACCAAATATATTTTGACTAAAAATTTATTATGCTCTTTATAACCTTAAAACATCTGCAAGATTTCAAAGCATTCGGTTTTGTGGTTCCTGATTAAATCAATAAAATAAATTTACGCATTCATTAATTTTTTTGAGTCACCCTGTATATGCAAATCGAAAAAATTTGAATGGAATGATAAATCACAAGAAGAGACTCACCATATTTTGTACATTTTAGATAGGATTTTTTCAGCAAAATTTTGTGGTGACGTCATTAATTTTTTAGGGGGGACGACCAAATACGTTTTGATCAAAAATTTACCATGCTTATGATAATTTTAAAATATCTTCAAGCTTTCGAAGCATTCGGTTTTGTAGTTCCTAGTAAATCAGTAAAATAAATTTACGCTTTCATTTATTTTCTTGAATCACCCTGTATATGCAAATCCAAAAAATATGAATGGAGTGATAGATCACAAGTACAGACTGATCATATTTTGTACATTTTAGATATGACTTATTCGGCAAATTTTCGAGCTGACGTCATCAATTTTTTGGAGGGGATAAGCAAATATATTTTGACTAAACATTTATTATGCTCTTTATGACCTTAAAACATCTGCAAGATTTCAGAGCATTCGGTTTTGTAGTTCCTGATTAATCAATAAAATATATTTACGCATTCATTAATTTTTTTGAGTCACCCTGTATATGCAAATCCAAAAAATATGAATGGAGTGATAAATTACAAGTACAGACTCATCATATTTTTACAGTTTGGATATGATTTATTCGGCAAACTTTCGAGTTGACGTCATAAATTTTTTGGAGGGGATAAGCAAATATATTTTGACTAAACATTTATTATGCTCTTTATAACCTTAAAACATCTGCAAGATTTCAAAGCATTCGGTTTTGTAGTTCCTGATTAAATCAATAAAATATATTTACGCATTCATTAATTTTTTTGAGTCACCCTGTATATGCAAATCCAAAAAATATGAATGGAGTGATAGATCACAAGTACAGACTCATCATATTTTGTACATTTTACATATGATTTATTCCACAAACTTTTGAGCTGACGTCATCAAGTTTTTGGAGGGGATAAGCAAATATTTTTTGACTAAAGATTTATGATGCTCTTTATAGCCTTAAAACATCTGCAACATTTCAAAGCATTCTGGTTAGCAGATTAAAAATTAAATTTCAAAATGTTGTTTTATAATTTTGATTTTTTTTCCAAAAATCTGGACGTTTCGGGTGAAAAGTCGATTCAGAGTTGTAAACTACATGTGTAGGACTATGTTATTTTATACAATTGAAAACCCATTTACTATGTACAATTTTGAAGTGACGTCATCGCATTAGTGGTGGGGATGATTAGACAAATTTTGGTTAGCGTTTTACTATCTACATGATATTCTTAATATAAGTACAAAATTTCACAACAATCGGTCGAGTACTTTCGGAGATTATCTGTCTAATAAAAATCCGGGACGGCAGACGGACAGACGGACAGACGGACGGACAGACGAACGGACAGACGGACAGACGGACGGAAATGGGAGACCTATTTCTTCGTCTTCTTGGGGTCACGAAAGATCGAGAAAACGTAAAAGTGGAGAGTCGGCCGACGGACTCGATTTACAATACTTCCTTTGCTTACGCTCGGGAAGTAAAAAGTTGTTAAATTTAACTAAAATCATACCTGAACACGGCTTTTCTATGAAAAAATCACCTCAGAACACAACACAGACATCATTTTGAACAAGCTTAATTTTGAAGTTTGCCCGGTCTGTCAAATGTGTTGCCAACCAAAAATAAACAAAATTAAGACTAATTCATTTACACTCGAGAAATAATAATGCACAAATTATATTGAATTTCTTTTAACAAAGTATGAGATTAGCAATAAATTACGCTTTAAAAAATGATATTCAATCGGTGACTATTGTTGTCTGCTCCGTTAGATTGACCACTGGTATCCAGCCCGCCTCCGTGCAAGACTTACAACAGAATTTCGCGTAATTTTGGCGCGCACAGTGATTGCTCAGTACGATGACACGACAATCGGGAAATAACGGGTTATCCTGGCAGTCGGGTTGGGCGTCGGTTCCTAGAAAAAACAAAATCGTGGTCAAAATTTAACAAAACTGGCAATTGTAGTGGTTTAACTAGACCTTTCGGATTCGTGTCGTGATTGGTTTGTCTAGCCTCCACGGTGACCGACCAACTGGCAGATTTACCCACACCGTTGTAAGCTTGACAAGTATACACCCCAAGATTTGATGATGTTACGGATGCTATGTGAAGAGAATGGTCTTTGCGTGTTTCGAACTGACTAGATTTTATAGGAATAAGAGTGTCATTTTTCCACCAGGTTACAGCAGGGAGAGGATAGCCCACGACTAAACAGTTGAGGGTTAATGAAGAGTTTAGCGACACCACAACTTTTGCTTGACTCTCTGATTCCAGTATAGTTGCAGGCCAGTGAGGACCGTCTACTTAATTAAATTAAATTAGACCAAATTTTTATGTTCGGAGCAAGACTTACCAATAACGACCAAGTTTATTCGTTTCATTGTAGCTTCACCTGTAGTGTTGTCGGTGGTACATAGATACACTCCTGCGTCAGACTTTTGAAGCATAATTATATGAAGTGATTGGTCCAGCTTAATCCTGTACTTAGCACCTTGAGTACCATCGATCTAATAAATAACATTAACATTCTTGTTGCACCTTCAGCGTTCATTACCAGTGTGTTATCTTTAGTCCAAGTTATCTTTGGTGTTGGGTTGCCGGTAGTAGCACACTCTAAAGTGACGTGGTCACCAAAAAGACCGTGAACTTCTTGTTCAGTAGCTACCAAGTCCTGTGTTTTGGGTGTTGCACTTGCTGTGAAAAATACAAATCTGAAGATAAATGTTCTGAGTTAGAATGAATACATGCCTAAACACTCGCCAACATTGGATGACCAGAATTCGTTCTCGCAAAACAGGCTACCGTGGCCACTCAGAGTATAATTCGGCTTACACTCTATTTTCAAAACAGTGCCTGGTACCACCAATGTTCCTGGCATAAAGTGATTGGAAGGTGCACCAAAGATGGACCAGTTGCCAAACGTGGGATGATCGGGTAATATACAACCACTTCTGAAGTCATAGATACGTTGAGTTATTTTTATCGTAATATCGGTCTACATTTTACCTTGCAGAAGTTATTGATACGTTTGTAGAAGCAGTGAAACAATCATCGTCAGTGCAATACACATGGTGTTCGGAGCTGCAATATCGTCAAACCCAATCATGCAATCGCTCCA